CCAATGCCAATTAAACTAAACCCCCGGAGTTTTTGGGGTTCTCCCCAACCCCAGACCCCAAACCCCAAGCCCCAAGCCCCAAACCCCAAACCCCAAACCCCAAACCCCAAACCCTAAACCCTAAACCCAAAAATACCTTCTCCGAGGCGGGGGCATCAGGGTGAGTACTTGGATGCCAACCCCTTGGAGCGAGCCCCGGACGGCGAGGTGAAGGCTCCCCGAGAGGGGGGTGGGTTTAGGGTTTCGGGTTTCGGGTTTAGGGTTTAGGGTTTAGGGTTTAGGGTTTAGGGCTTCGGGCTTAGGGTTTAGGGTTTAGGGCTGGACCCTGAAACCCTGAACCCAAACCCTAGGCTTGGGATTTTGAGGTCTCGGTGGGGCGCTTCAAGGGAAGTTTTCCCCAAGCCCTAAACCGCTAAACCGCTAAACCGCTAAACCGCTAAACCGCTAAACCGCTAAACCGCTAAACCGCTAACCCTAAACCCTAAACCCTAAACCCTAAACCCTAAACCCCGAAACCTGTTGTCTTAGAGGGCTTCAGAGATTGGGGCCGCTTCGAGCTTCACATGATGGCAGGCCAGCACCGGCACGGCACCCCAAACCACGCCTGCCAAACCTAAATCCTAAAATTTAAGAGCCTCCGGCTCAAGCCGCCGACCCCGCAGGAGAACAAGTTTAAGGTTTGGGGTTTGGTGATTTTGTTTGCGGTTCCTTTTGGGGGGGGGTGGGGGGGGTGGGGGGGGGGGGGGGGGGGGGGGGGGGGGGGGGGGGTGGGGGGGGTGGGGGGGGGGGGGGGGGGGGGGGCAAAGAGGGGTTTTTTCCAAAAGAGCCCCTATGCCCTGTGCGAAAACGCCTATGGTCCATGAGTTTACGCCCTACCCCCCCCCCCCCCCCCCGGGCGTTTTGGGGGGGTAAGGAGGGAAAGAGCACCTCCTTTTCCCATCCAACACGCCGCCAGGGTCGGCGGACCCCAGAAGCCTAAACCCCTAAAAATCCCCAAAACCCCAAGACCCCAAGACCCTAAACCCCAAAAACCCTAGACCGGTTCAACCCCATAAAACCCCAAAACCCCCAAACCCCACGACCCCAAAACCCTAAACCCCGAAACCCTAAAACCCTAAACCCTAAACCCTAAAACCCTAAAACCTTAAAACCCTAAACCCTAAACCCTAAACCCCAAAACCCTAAAACCCGAAAGCCCCGAACCCGCTGGAAGCCCGGGGGCCTTGCCTTCAAAGTCCCCAGACCTTGTTGTTGGCTTTCCGGGTTGAGGGTTCAGGGTTCAGGGTTCAGGTTTTAGGGTTTAGGGTTTAGGGTTTAGGGTCCAGGGTTCAGGGTTTAGTGGGTTTAGGGTTGAGGGTTCAGGGTTCAGGGTTTAGGGTTTAGTTAGAGATTGGAGGGACTTTGGGGGACTGTGGGCTTGATGGTTTTATATATTGTTTTGCTTGGAGGTGGGGGGTTGGGGGGTTAGGGTTCCAGTGTCACGGCCCTTCCCCATGAGCCGAGATATCCCCAGGCCCCTGTGAACGGTCAGGCCCTGCACCCTACACCCTACACCCTACACCCTACACCCTACACCCTACACCCTACACCCTAAACCCTAGACCCTAAACCCTAAACCCCAAACCCTAAACCCTAAACCCCAAACCCTAAACCCTAAACCCGAAACCCTAAATCCTAAACCCTAAACCCTAAACCCCAAAACCCTAAACCCTAAACCCTAAACCCTAAACCCTAACCCTCACCCCCTACGCCACACCCCCCCCCCCCTCCCCCCACGAGCCCCAGAAGCCCTGTGAGTTCTCACCTGCGGCTCCAGGCTCGGTGGCGAGACGAGGGCGAGTGGTCTCCTGGCTAAACCCTAAACCCTAAACCCTAAACCCTCAACCCTCAACCCTCAACCCTCAACCCTCAACCCTAAACCCTAAACCCTAAACCCTAAACCCTAAACCCTAAACCCTAAACCCTAAACCCTAAACCCTAAACCCTAAACCCTAAACCCCTAAATCCTAAATCCTAACCCTAAACCCTAAACCCTAAACCCTAAACTTATAGGGTTTCGGCTTCAGGGTTCGTCGGGATTTGGGGTTCAGGGTTTAGGGTTTAGGCTTTAGGTTGCTTGGGGTTTGGGGTGTTTTGGTTTTGGGGTTGTCCGGGTTCGTGGCTTAAACCTTAAACCCCCTGAATCCTGAACTCTGACGACCCCGTCCCCCTAACCCCCCCACCCCCCCACCCCAGCCGCCACCCCCACCCCCCCAGAAGAAAGAGAGTCTAGGTAACCTCCTTCAACCCAAACCCTAAAACCTCGTCTAAACCCCCACAACCTGGAGCCCTTGCACCCTGAGCGTGGCCTTTCTGCCTAAACCCCTCAACCCCTGAACTCAGGCAGGTCATGGACCTACCCTACACCGACAAGCCAGGTTTTTAGGGTTTAGGGTTGACCCTGAATCTGAACCCTCGAAGAAAACCCCGCACACTCTCCAAACCTAGGCAAGTCATGTGGATCGAGAAGTGAGAGCCTGGATTGGATGGAATGCGGTTTCCGACCGCGCGCTGGAGATATACACCGGATGGGTATGGAGCTGTAGAAGCTTAGGTTTGAAGAGTTCGGGGTGTATAGGTTTAGGAGCGAAACCCTAAACCCAACCTTAACCATAAACCCCAAACCCTAAACCCTATAAACCCTACAAACCCCATAAACCCTATAAACCCGATAAACCCCATAAGCCCTATAAGCCCTATAAACCCTACAAGCCCTACAAGCCCTATAAACCCTATAAACCCGAAAAAAAAACCCGACAGCCTCAACCCCAATATGTTTTAGCCTACCCCGAAGCTCCCAATGTTTGGATCCCTTGAGTTTAGGGTCTAGGGTTTCGGGTGGCTGGGGATGCCCTCAGGATCCTTCAGCCTGAAACGGTTGTCCCTAAGCCCTAAACCCTAAACCCTAAACCCTGAACCCTAAACCCTAAACCCTAAACCCTAAACCCTAAACCCTAAACCCTAAACCCTAAAACCCTGTTCCCTAAGCATGGCAGCGATAGGTCTCAACGAAACGGTGCAAAACCTTGCGCACCTGCCTGGGAGTACATGCGGTAAGAGACTCACGACCTCCGCAACAGTGGCTTTGAAAAGAGGCCCCCTGGTGCTGAGGGTGAGGCGAGTCCCCACACCCCACACCACGCTTACGGTTTAGGGTTTAGAGTTTAGGGTTTAGGGTTTAGTGTTTAGGGTTTAGGGTTTATGGTTTGGGGTTTAGGGCAACCCTAAACCCTCAACGGCTTCAGAGGGCTTTGCCTTTTTTTGAGGCTTTGGGGTTTGGCTTGGGATTTCGGAGCTTGCGGGCTATTTGGGGTGTGTCGGGCTTAGAGCTTTTGGGGCTACAGGGACTTCGGTGTGAGATTTGGGGCCGTTTGCTGCTTAGGATTTATTGGGTTTTGGGTTTAGGGTTTGGGGAGGGTTTAGGGTTAAGGGTTTAGGGTTTAGGGTTTACATAGGGTTTAGGGGTTTACAGTAGGGGTTTAGGGTTTAGCTTTTGGGCTTAGTTCGGGTTCAGGTGCCTTTAAAAGCCTAGGTGCTTGCAGTAAGGGTGGCTCCCCCGCCCCCACCCCCACCTGCCACACCCTCGGGCCTGCAGCGGCCTTTCAGGGTTTAGGGTTTAGGGTTTAGGGTTTAGGGTTTAGGGTTTCGGGCTTAAGCCCCCACATCCCAAACGACCAAGTCCTGCACCATCCGAGTGTGCCAGTGCATTGAGAGCATCGCCACCCGAGCCCTAAACCCTAAACCCTAAACCCTAAACCCTAAACCCTAAACCCTAAACCCTAAACCCTAAACCCTAAACCCTAAACCCTAAACCCCCTAAACCCTAAACCCTAAACCCTAAACCCTAAACCCTAAACCCTAAACCCCCTAAACCCTAAACCCTAAACCCTAAACCCTAAACCCTAAACCCTAAACCCTAAACCCTAAACCCTAAATAAACCCTAAACCCTAAACCCTAAACCCTAAACCCTAAACCCTAAACCCTAAACCCTAAACCCTAAACCCTAAACCCTAAACCCTAAACCCTAAACCCTAAACCCTAAACCCTAAACCCTAAACCCTAACCCTACAAGGGCCTGCAGGCCCCCTACCCTAAGGTTTGAACCATGAGCCCTCAGTCAGCGTGGTCCCCTACCCCTTCCGAAGTATGGGGCCTTACTTTGGGGTGTTCCCCCTTTTATAGGGAGTATGAGTACAAGGGGGAACATCCCAACCCGGGGACCCAAGTTAAGGGCCCATACTTTCGGAGTCTCCCCTATATACGTAAACCCCTAAACCCTAAACCCTAAAGCCTAAAGCCGAAAGCCCAAACCCTAAACCCTAAACCCCCCCCCCCCCCCCAACTACCTTCTCGCAAGCCCAAGGCGCGCCGCTTCAGGCTCTAGGTCGGACCTTGCAAGTCAGCAGAAGCCCGAAGTCCTCGGCCCTAAGCCCTGAGCCCTCGGCCCTAAGCCCTAAACTTGAAAAAACAACACATAAACACAACCCCGAGCATTAGAGTAGCCCCTTCTTTGGGTATCGCCCTCAACCCCACCCCTTGAGCCTTAAGCAGCCCACCAGCAACAGCCCTCCCCTAGCCCAACTGCCTGCTGCTGGCATGGAGGTGGGGTGCAAGGGTTTGCAGGGTTTAGGGCTGAACATTTAGGACTTGCCTGAAGAGGTTTCGCGAAGTGTTCGTGTAGCTATTTCGGGCGCATCTCGAGTAAACTGGCGTAACTTGGAAAAGGGAAATGGCACCTGTTTAAGAGCTTTAGGTTACGCTAGGTATTCTTACAATCAGGACTGGAGTATTTGGGGCTGTACTAAGGTTTTTGGGACATGCCTCTATAGAGTCAGAGTGGCACGAGTCAGGGTAGGGCAGGGCTTGTAAGACATTCAGGCTGCCTGGCACGCGCAAGCACGTTGGCCCAAACGGTTCGTTTTGAGTTTGTTTTAAAGCCCCGTGGCTTGCAACCATCGCCATGACTCCGCGGTTCATTGTGGGCACACTGATCGCCGGGACCTCACTCAGCTTGATGGGCTGTGGTGGCTGTAATCAAGATGCGCTGACCACGTGCGCCCAGACGTACAATAGCGACCCGACGATCTCCTCAGGGACCGATGCAGTTTGCAAGACATGGGAGGCGTACACCACCTGCGTCAAAGATGCTTGGCTTTCTTCTGGCTGGCTGTTAGGACTTAGACCTGTTGGGTTTCTGTAGAAACTACAGTAAGGAGGCACGGTTTAGGGTTTAGGGTTTAGGGTTTAGGGTTTAGGGTTTAGGGTTTAGGGTTTAGGGTTTAGGGTTTAGGGTTTAGGGTTTAGGGTTTAGGGTTTAAACTTCTTAGGAGGGGTTCAGAAGTCAGCCAAGGATGCAGGTTGCTGCGACTCCAGCATTGAGACAGAAGGTACCAGCAAGGCCTGGAAGGAATACTTGGACTCCCTGCTCACGATGAAGGACACCCTGTGCACGGGCAACAACGTTGTGAGCAACAAGTGCTGAGCCAGATGTGCTCGGTTCAATCGAGACGAATGCTGTGTGGATGAACAAAAGGTGCTTGCACATCTCTAGGTTCAGAGAGGCAGCATCTTCGAGTGCTTTCATTGTTGTCCATCGTCTTTCCCGTCCACAGCTATGGTCCCTTGCTTCGGCTTGTGCCAGCCGCGATCTACTTTGTAGAGATGTTTTGCAGTTGTCGCGCCAGCCGCACAGGGATGCCGATCAGGCCCCGTGCTACCCATCCCCATGTTCTCTCCCCCCAAAAACTCAACAGCCCAGACCCTTCAATCTCTGCGCGGCTTGGGAGGGGGGGGGGTGGGGGGGTTTAGGGTTTAGAGTCTAAGCCCACCAAGCAGTCCACAATCCGTTTCATCTTTCAGAACAGTCCCAGGCCAGAGGTTTTGGGATTCAGGGGTCAGCCTCCCTCGAGGCTCTAAACCTCGAACCCTGAAGCCTAAAAAGCCTAAACCCTGCCAAGACCTCTGGGAGGATCCGAAAAGCAGATCCCTTCAATGACACTATATTAAGTTAGAGTGTACTGTTTGCTTTTTGGATCCTCCCAAGGGGGTCTGGCTAAGGGCGTTTCGGGAGGGCTTCATGAAATCGTAGTTCGGAAACCCCTATGAGCTCATCATCACTCAACCCCCCCCCCCCCCCCCCCCCCCCCCCAAAACGAGCCCACGAAGGAGGAGTACGGCCTGGCCGGCCGAGTCCAAGAAACTTTGCGCGAGGGCTTCGCGCTGACGTCCGAGACGCTCAAGGCGACGAAGGGCCTTGGGGGTGGAAGCCCAGCAGCCCAAAACCCTGAACCCTAAACCCTAAACCCTGAACCCTAAACCCTAAACCCTAAACCCTGAACCCTGGACCCTAAACCCCAAACCCCAAACCCCAAACCCCAAACCCGAAAGCAAGCGGCTTCATCGATTGGTGTGCGTGGGGTGTAGGATGCCCCAGGAGTACCACAAGCCGCGGTCAAACCCTGAAACCCCTCCAAGTCCCCCTCCCCGCTCAAAACAAAAGGGTTTAGGGTTTTTAGGTTTAGGGTTTAGGGTTTAGGATTAAGAGCTTAGGGCTTAGGGTTTCAAACCCTACACTTTGGATGTTCCCCCTTGTACTAACAGTCCTTGATAAGGATTATAGTAGGGGGTGCTAGAATCCCAATTCAGGACTGTTTGGAGCAGGGCGAATCTCCAAAACACTAAACCCTCAACCCCAAAGCCCTAAGCCTACTTAGAGGGTTAGAAGGTTTAAGGCTTTCCTAAGCCCTAATTTCCTAAATCAAAGGGTTAATTCGGGCTTAGGGGTCGGGCTCCTCAACGCCGCAACCTGCTTCTTCGTTCAAGGGACTACAGGAGGGACCCTTCTAAGGGACCTTAGGGTTCAGGGTTTAGGGTTTAGGGTTTAGGGTTTAGGGTTTAGGGTTTAGGGCTTAGGGTTGGTGGTTGAGGGTTTGGTGGTTTAGGGATTAGGAAGGAGGGACCCGTGAAGGGACCTGCCGTAGGGGTACTTTGAGGCCTGTTTAGGGGCCACTGAGGTATCTAGGACTTTTTATATAGGGGTTATGTAGCGGAATAAGATTCAGGGTCCCTTCTCAGGGTCCCTTCTAGGCGTCCCTCTAAACCCTAAACCCTAAACCCTAAACCCTAAACCCTAAACCCTAAACCCTAAACCCTAAACCCTAAACCCTAAACCCTAAGCCCTAAGCCCTAAGCCCTAAGCCCTAGAGGTCCCTTATGAGGGTCCCTCCTTAGACCCTGACTACTTCCGTCGCCAGGTCTTGGTGGATTCCGAGTGCTCCAGCGAGGAGCAGGCGCCAGGGTTTTTTTATGGGGCGACCCGGGGACCCTAAACCCTAAACCCTAAACCCTAAACCCTAAACCCTAAACCCTAAACCCTAAACCCTAAACCCTAAACCCTAAACCCTAAACCCTAAACCCTAAACCTAAACCCTAAACCCTAAACCCTAAACCCTAAACACCGACGTCGCAGGAGTCGAAGGCGAGGCGGCTGTCAACCGCATACGCTCCCTGGCTCGCTGCGGACACCCTAAGCCCTACAACCCTGCAACCGGTAAGCCCTAAACCCCTGCAAAGCCTAAGACCTTCAACCCGCAAGCCCCTGAACCCTATAAAGGCTACGAGCACCCAAACCCCAAACCCCAAACCCCAAAGCCCAAAGCCCAAACCCCAAACCCCAAACCCTAAACCCTACGAGCCGAAACCCCAGACCCTGCGAACCTTTTGAGGCTTTCAGAGGGGGAGGGGGGGGGGCCTATTTTGAGGGTTTCCGAAATTAGGGGTACCTTTTGGGGTCCTGTAATAAGGATTCTGCTAGGTTTGGGGAAAATGAGGGTACCCCCCTGTTTTCGGAAATACCTGTCTTGGGGATGTTCAGGTGTACGGAGTAAAACCCTAAGCCCTAAAAAGCCCTAAACCCCAAGCCCAAAACCCAAAACCCTAAACCCTAAACCCCAAACCCCAAACCCCAAACCCCAAACCCAGACCCTTTAGTACATCTTCGTACCAACGAGCCTCTGTAGCCAGAGCCGAGGCTGCCAATCTCGCCTCCGTGCTGCCCCCAGGGAGGCTTCAGTTCTTAGGGTTTAGGGTTGAAGGGTTTAGGGTTTAGGGTTTAGGGTTTAGCGTTTAGCGTTTAGCGTTTAGGGTTTAGAGTTTAGGGCTTAGGGCGTGACCTCAGAGGAGGTTCGCCGCATTGAGGGTGATGTCGTGGAATGTTTACGGGAAATATCTGCGAGGTCCGGCAGGTAGAGGTGGGGGGCCGATCTTCTGGAAACTCTTAGGGGTTTAGGGTTTAGGGTTTAGGGTTTAGGGTGGGAAGGAACGGGTTTACGCATGTAACCTTTATGTGGTCCATGCCAGCCGAAAGAGTATTCTAACCCCCACCGAGCCCTAAACCCCCCAAAAGCCCTACTCCCGAAGCCCTAATCACCGAATCATAAACCCTAGGCCCTAAGCCCTAAGCTCTAAACCCTAAACCCTAAACCCTAAACCCTCGTGTGTCCCACACCCTGAATCCCGAACGTCCTCCCCCCAACAAAAAAGTCCCGCGCCCAGGTGCGTCAAGAGTCGAGACCCTGGCTTTCTTTTCCTTTTTTGGGTTTAGGGTTAGGGTTTTGGTTTTTTTTGGTGGGGGGGGATTCTGTATTTTCCCTGAACCCCTAAAATCCCTTAACCCCTACACTTTAAACCCCGAACCCTTAACCGTGAAGCCTGTGGAGGAAGGGGAGAAAAGGTTGACCTTTCCCTGCATGGTGGGGTCTCAGGGAAGCATTGGGGGGGGTCAGGTTTCAGGGTTGTTCTGATCGGGTTTAGGGGCTTTAAGATTTAGGGTTTAGGCTTTAGGGTTTAGGGTGAAGTCAGACGGACTAGACATGTGCTTACGAAAGTCAAAGGTGCAACAAAACTCGGCAGAATACATCGTCACAACGATGCGCCCGCGCTCGGCGCCATCTATGCTCGGAGACCCTAAACCTCAAAAAGCGTTAAGAGTTTCCTCAACCTGTGGTAAGGCCCAAGCCCCAGCACCCTGCCCTCCTGGCACCCCCCCAATATTATGCAATGAGGTCAGCCAACATCACCCCCGAGGACTAAACCTTGGGATGTTCCCCCTGATACTAACAGTCCTCAATAGGATTATAGCACCCCCTATTTAATCACCATTAAGGAACTGTTACTGTCTAGGGGTTCTACCTTGGACCCTTAAGGTTGCACCCCTGGGTTTTGGGGTCCCTTCTAAGGGTCCCTAGGGGAATATAAGGGCCATATTAGGAGTAAATTAATGGGAACCTTTAGGGGTACAACCTTACTTAGGGGTACGAGTAAACCCTAAACCCTAAACCCTAAACCCTAAACCCTAAACCCTAAACCCTAAACCCTAAACCCTAAACCCTTGAAAGCCGCGTCTTCATCCCTTGAATAAGGGGGACATCCCATGCAGAAGCCGAGGCTGCTTGCAGCCATCGACGCAGCGACTGAGGTGCACGCTGAATGCACATGTCTTGGGGTTCTACTAGGGTTTAGGGTTTAGGGTTTAGGGTTTAGGGCAATGAAAATCCCTGAGCCCGAAGACCCGAAACCCGACACCCTAAGCAAATTTCCCTGGCCTGCGTTCACCCACACCCCCCAATCTCTAAAACCCTGAAACCCTGAAGCCTGACTCCCTAAGCTGGTACTTAGCCAGTAGCTTTTCCTTGTCTAGTAGGAATTGGTAAAGTTGTACCATGTCTTCCCTCGGTTATTGGAGAAGAAAGCTATTGCAGCGTGCGGAAGCCTTTCAGCCCCCCTCCCGCCTCCCCCCCGTCCCCCGTCCCCCGTCCCCCGTCCCCCCTCCCCCCTCCCCCTCCCCCCTCCCCCCCTCCCCTCTCCCCCCTCCCCCCCCAAACTTTCCCGGTTTAGGGTTGGGTTTAGGCGGTTTAGGGAGTTTAGGGTCTAGGATTTAGGGTTTCCTGTTTAGGAGAAAGGCCGGACGACGGCCCCGCACCCACCTAGTCAACTTCATCTATGGGGGTCTTTGAACATACTGAACTACTGGAAGATGATCCGGATTCTCCCGGCCTTGTGGACTTGAGGGTTTAGGGTTTGTTTGGGGTTTAGGGTTCACGGTTTAGGTTTTAGGGTTTAGGGTTCAGGGTTTAGGGTTGAGGGTTTAGGGTTTAGGGCTGCGCAACAAACCCTTAACTCCAGGTTTCGTGTTCCCACCGACGCTTTCGCATGCATATTGTATATATATACATATATACATATATGGACATATACACACATATGTATATACAATTATATCATATACGTATAGAAATAGAACATATATATATATATATATGTCTGCAAATAAGGTCCTGAATTGAAGAGCCCAGAACTACGACCCGCCCAAAACCCTCGAGGCTCGGCTCAACCCTACACCCTCGAAACCCGAAGCCCGCGGTCCTAAACCCCAAACCCTAAGCCCTGGTGCCTCAACCGCAAAACCCCGGGCTGTAGAGCTTAAGCCCTTAACCTCACGCAGGCGTGGGCCGGACCAAGCATTATGTAGGGTTTATAGGGTTCAGCGAAGTACTCCACACGCCCCAAATGCCCCCTACTTCGGTTCTGAACCCCTGAAACCTCAACCCCCGAACCCCAAACTAAGCATCTCAACTCGACGCACCGAAGCCCTAAAGGAAGCTTCGCAACCCTTAAACCCTAAACCCGAAAGCCTAAGCCTTGTGAAAATCTACCTGTTGTACTCCTTGTATAGTGTAGCCGAGGTCACATCTCCTTTCGTTATGTGCTTTAGTTTAGAATCCCCTAAAATCCCCCTGAACAAAAGGGCGTAGATTCAGGGAAACTTTCACATGACCCTGTGGAACTCCGCAGGCCTTGAGCTCTACCTTAGCAGCCGAAGCCACCGCCCGTGAACGATCCTTCTCCAGCCTAAACCTTAAAATCACGCTTCTCAACCCTTATAAGCCCTAAACCCTAAGTAAGCTTCTCAGCTATAGACGTCGGAAAAATTACTAGTAGCATTCCGTTATGGCCCCTTCTATAGCTGTGCTACAACAGCCCCCGCAAAACCCTAAACCCCATTGCCAGGTGGGGGAGGAGGAGGTGGCCAACCAGGTGGCGCAAGAGGCCGACGCTCTCAGGGTTTAGGGTTTGGGGTTTCGCGCGCTGCAAGGGTCAGCCATGAATTTGTGTAGTTCACGCTTGATGGCTTCGGGTTTAGACAGACAGATGATCATCCCGCTATTCCCCTTATTATAGGGAAGGATATTTTCATTTTTTGGTGTGAAATGGTAGGTATAGGGTTTCAGGTTTTGGGGTTCTTCAAGGGGTTATATGGGCCCTTAACATGGCCCCTGACCCCGAAGTATGGGCCCTTTAGTTGTATAGGGTATATAAGGGGTATATAAGGGGTATATAAGGGGTATATAAGGGGTATATAAGGGCCCATATGAAGGGACCATGTAACTGCCCTTTGAGGTTCAGGGCTCATTAGCCCTCGAGTTGGCAACCCGGGCCCCCAGCGGCCCTACGCCGGGTTACAGCTGCCAAGAGTAGAACTAGGTACGCCGTTGGGCATGTCCTTCCCTTTTTCCTGAGTGCTTGATGTAGAATTTCTAATAACCTGGAGAAGATATCAGGGTGCATACGAGCCGAGAGAGGCCCTTAAAATACCCATCCAGAAAAACCTAAACCCTCAACCCTAAACCATAAAGCCTAAACCCTAAACCCTAAACCCTAAACCCTAAACCCTAAACCCTAAACCCTAAACCCTAAACCCTAAACCCCTAAACCCTAAACCCTAAACCCTAAACCCTAAACCCTAAACCCTAAACCCTAAAAAAAGAGCCGAGAGAGAGGCGACGGCCTGCGCTGAGCTCCGGGCCCAAATACGGATTGCCAGAGAGCGCTTGCGCTGGGGCGCCGAGAGATGTTTTGGGCCTGCCGGGTAAGGGGTTGGGGTTTAGGGTTTGGGGTTTAGGGTTTAGGGTTTAGGTTTAGGGTTTAGGTTTTAGGGTTTAGGGTTTAGGGTTTAGGGCTTCGGGTTTCGGGTTTAGGGTTTAGGGTTTAGGGTGCGGGCTTGGGTGGCTGAGGGTTTCGGGTAGCGACGTGGGATTCCTACGGTTTGGGATTAGGTTTAGGGAAGCATACTGCTAGGGCTGCTAGGGCTTGGGCTTTGTAGGTTTTAGAGTTGAAAGTGCTGGGTGTTGGGTTCTGGCTTGCACTCTACACCACCTCAAAACCCCCTGAACCGAACCGTAACTCCGAGACGGCCTCGTTGGTCATACTTTGCCCTGACAGGTTAACTTATTTCCCCAAACCCTAAACCCTCAACCCTAAACCCCAAACCCTAAACCCTAGAGCCGTTTAACCCCAAACGCGAAATCCCTGAGCCTCTCCCGCCCCTCGCTGCCTGAAGCCTGTAACCTCGAGCACTCCTCTGAAGACATATTCCCCAAACCCCAGACGCCCAAACCGTACACCCTGAACGCTACACCCTAGCCCCTAACCCTAAATTCTAAATTCTAAGCCCTAGACCCTAAACCCTTTATGTAAATATAGATCCAACAAATTATCCTGATCCGAAAGTAAACCCTAAACCCTAAACCCTAAGCCCTAAACCGTAAACCCTAAACCCTAAACCCCAAGGTTCGAACCATTGTTTGGAGTCTGGAGTTTCTTATGGTGTTAGAGGCCTGACCCATGCCCTGGGCGGCCTGCCCGAGTGGCTGGCGGCCGCCGCGGGCGAGGAGCAAGTGTTCGCGGTTTAGGGTTTGGGGTTTGGGGTTTCGGGTTTGGGGTTTAGGGTTTAGGGTTTGGGGTTTGGGGTTTAGGGTTTAGGGTTTGAGGTTTAGGGTTTGGGGTTTGGGGTTTGAGGTTTGAGGTTTGGGGTTTGGGGTTTGGGGTCAAGAGTTATAGGGTTGATGGGGTTGTTTAAGGTTTATAGGGTTCAGAAGGGTTTTTCTGGGGATCTGCAGGGTTGTGTTCAGGGTGCCCAGGCTTTGCTTGTAGGGTGCGTGGTTCTCCGTAGGGAATGAGGGGGCCTGTATCCCCCCTAGAAAACACCCTGTAAGGGATTATGAAGGGTACGTAATTCCCCCATTCCCTACTAAGAACCTGGTTCAGGGCTTATGGGATTGATAGCCCAGTGGTGCTTTTTTCCCTTTTTTTGGGCTCTGGTTCCCTTAAAAAAGTAACCATATTATATTTAGTATATAGTATATAATATATAGTATATAGTATATGATATATAAAAAAAGGGTGCCTTAAGCCTAATATGGTCACTGGGCTACTAAGTCGGGTTTGATAGGGTTGAGGGGGGCTTGTATGGTTTGTAAGGCTTAGGGACTTGACGGACTGGAGCCCCAAACCTAAACTTAGCCCTAAACCCTGAACCCTAAACCCTAAACCCTAAACCCTAAACCCTAAACCCTAAACCCTCAACCCTCAACCCTCAACCCTCAACCCTCAACCCTCAACCCTCAACCCTCAACCCTCAACCCTCAACCCTAAACCCTAAACCCTAAACCCTAAACCCTAAACCCTAAAGAGCTGGAAGCTGCGGGAGGCCGAGCCTGCCATGAGCCTTAAGACTCTACGTAACTCGGTTTAGGGTTTAGGGTTTAGGGTTTAGGGTTTAGGGTTTAGGGTTTAGGGTAAACCCTCAGAAAGAAAGTCCGAAACCCGAAAGCCCAAATCTCCGAATCCGTAACCTAGGCCCAAAACACAAGGCCCTTAGGGTTTAGCTTTGTTTATAGACGAGTCTTGCTGTGCAAGGTACCTCCATGAAGGAACTGGGCACTAAAGTCTCGTCAGAGAGCTCTAAGGCAGAAACCCTGTACCCGAAGCACTAAACCCTAACTAGACCGAACCCTTTAAACCTTGAGGGTTTAGGGTTTAGGGTTCTTTAGGGCTTAGGGTTTCGGGACCCTAAACCCGAGACCCGGCTTGTGTGCGGCTTTCCAGACGTTTTTGGTTGAAGGGCTTCTCAGGGTCTTGCAAGGGCCGCTGGCGTGTTTACATCGACATTTGCTTTAGGGTTTAGGGTTTGGCGCTTAGAAGGGTTTAGGGTTCAAGGATTAGAAGGGTTGACGGAGCTAACTGAGGCTGGCAAAGTGTGACGCCAGCGTGCTGTTCACTGAGGGCCGGCATTTGTGTCATTTTGAAAAACAGCTTCAGGTTCAGGAGTTACAGGATTTCGGGTTTGGGGATTATAGTGTCTAGTTGCTCCTAACCCGAAACCTTAAACCCTGAACCCTAAACCCCAAACCCCAAACCCCACATCTGTTGCCAGAAGGACCCCAACGAGGAGGCCCTGGCAAGCGAGCAGGGTGAGGCAGATGACGGCCAGACGAAGCGGAGGAAAACGTTCTGCCCGGGCTTCTAGTGGGGTTTAGGGTTTGTTTTTTTAGATGTTCAGGGGTTTAGGGTTTAGGGGTTTGGGGTTTAGGGGTTAGGGACTAGTGTTTAGGGCTTAGGGCTTAGGGTGTAGGGACTAGTGTTTAGGGCGTGGGGTTTAGGGCTTAGGGCTTAGGGGTTTTCGGGGGGGTTCAATTCGGGTTCAATTGTGCTTTGCATCTGTGGCTTTCGGGACTCAGGGTGGGATCATTTTTTTTTTTTTTTTTTTTTTTTTTGTGTGTGTGTGTGTGTGTTTGTTTAGGTCTTGGGTTCGAGTTTTAGGCTTGAGGGTAGGCAGAACAACACTCACACCTTTCTGTTTCGGAGTCTTTGGCAGGGTTGTTCAGTTGCTCTCCTTCTGCGTCTTCTCAAGCTTCTAAACCCTAAACCTCAAACCCCAAACCCCAAACCCCAAACCCTAAACCCTAAACCCAGAACCCTCAAAAGGGTCCGGGTTGTGTAGGAACCGTTGGCGGTGAGCCCTCAATGCAAAGCAACCTCTCAGTTGTCGCATCGCTGTTGGACAAAAACTCGTTCAAGATGCTCAGGTGTGTTCGGTTCAGGGGTTTAGGGTTTAGGGTTTAGGGGTCTTCGGTTTAGGGTTTAGGGTTTAGGGTTTAGGGTTTCAAAGGGGTTGCTGCACTGAGGCCCGCAAAAGCACGCGCCAGCCCAACACAGTAGGGTTGAGGGTTTGGGGCTTAGGGTTTAGAGTTTAGGGTTAGGGTTTAGGGTTTAGGGTTTAGGGTTTAAGGTTTAGGGTTTAGGGTTTAGGGGTTTTGTTTTTTCATTTCGCAACAGTCTGCGACAAGAACCAAGCTGAGCTGTGCTCCAACAAACTTTTCATGGATACCTGTTGTGTTCAATTGGAAGTTGTCTGTCGAAGGCACGCCTCACAAACGTTTAGTGGATGCTTGTTTGGTTAATTTGGCTTGCTTTAATTCCAAGACCTTCATTCCTTCATTCCTCGCTCACCGGCGGCGAGGTTAGGGTTCAGTGTTTAGGGCTTAGGGTTCCTGAACTCTAAGCACGAGACCTGGAACCTGAAACCCGAAACCGGAGATTTGTTTAGGTTCCAGGCTTTGGTGTTTCATGGGTTACCCTACTACACCCCTCTAGACTACCCCCCCCCCCCCCCTCCCCCTTCTCGCAGAATTAAGGCTAATGAATGATCAAGCCTGTTTGAGGTCATTTCAGGGGGGCAACCTAGGGGGGGGTAGTATAGAGGGTTTAGGGTTTAGGGTTTAGGGTTTAGGGAGGGGGGTAGCAGAGGGGAACCCATGAGTGTGAGTGTGTGTGTGTGTGTTCTGTCAGGTGCAGGGTGTTGGTGTCCTGGAGCCTTGGCGATGTTGGGGTTTAGGGTTAAAAGGTTTCGGCCCTAAACCCGAAACCCGAAACCCGAAACCCGAAACCCGAAACCCGAAACCCGAAACCCGAAACCCGAAACCCTAAACCCTAAACCCTAAACCCTAAACCCTAAACCCTAAACCCTAAACCTCCAAGCCCTCAACCCTCAGCCCTCAGTCCTCTTGCGAGCTTCGCCAAACTGCGCGGACGCCGATGTGCCGGATCTCGTGGCTTGTCAGGGCTCCCTGGACCTAACCCTAAACCCTAAACCCTAAACCCTAAACCCTAAACCCTAAACCCTAAACCCTAAGCTCTAAACCCTAAACCGCCGGACCCTAACCCCTAAGCCCTAAATCTCTAAACCCCTAAGCCCCAATCCCTAAACCCCTAAACCCCTAACCCCGCAACCCTAAACCCTTCTGCTTCTGGACTTGGGGACGCCCGAATACCCCCCAAAAAACCGAACTCTTCAGCCCTAAGCACTCAACCCTAAGCCCGAAGCCCTAAGCCCTAAACCCCAAACCCTAAACCCTAAACCCTCACCCCCAAAGGCCCGAAACTCCACACGTGCAACGCCCTCCGCGCCGGCGCGTGTCTTGGGGCGATGACGGCCGCGGCGCCGCCGGCGCCGCAGCACGTGCACGCGGCCCATGAGCTGCTCGCCTCGTGCTGTTTGGGGGGGTAGTAGGGTGCTAAGGGTGCTAAGGGTTTAGGGTTTAGGGTTTAGGGTTTAGGGTTTTGGGGTTTAGGGTTTAGGGCTTAGCTTTTGGAGTTTGGTGTTTGCAGAGGCTTCGTTTGGGTTAGGGTTGAGTTGAGGCATGTCTTGGCCGAGAGCTGCAGTGAATTCCGGGGTTACCGTGCAAGGTTGA